TGTTTTTGACACACTCATCAGATTCAGGACAGGTAAGTTCTCATGTGCTCTTACATTGTTTTCAAAGATAGCATGTATCTGTAAACACAGGAATGTGGGAACTGCCCCACTGGACCTGAACAATGATTCATCCAGTTTAGTAACCTGTCTGCAACAGAATCCAGAATTGAGGAAAGTGCAAGAAACCTGGCATATATCTATGGAATAGTATGCATTTAGGAACAGTTTTCTGACCCCCCATCAGTTAGAGATTTGCTTATAGACACCGATGTATCAGGACTTATATACCTTCCAAATGTTAATTCCTTCACCCCCTCTGAAACCTGGATTTCGTACAATACTCAGCATTTCCCAGTTCTCTGTCATTAGCACAATCCCACTTAGGCCATTAGCTGGCTCTCCCCGCTGTCAGATCTCTCCTGAAATCACACTTCTCCTGGGACTCTTCCTGCCACACATACAGCTTACATTGGAGAGTGGAACTGAGGTAAGACTAAGGGCTGGTGAGCCCTTTGTTTTCAGATCACCCTGTGCCCTGCAGATCAGGGTTCACTCCCACTTGCTAGAACTCCATTGGGGCAGATTCTGTGCCCCCTTACTAAAATTTAGTCTACACTAGTGCAATGACATACAGTAATATGACTCCAGATACACACCAGTGTTCAGGGTACAATCGGCATTAGAAAGTCTTTGCAATGTACCTGAGGTCCTGTGTAATCCAGAGTGCATAGTGACACACTGAAATAAACTGATCAAGATAGCAAAGGCCATTCATTTCTCACAAGAATCAGGGTAAAGGGAGAATTTGCCAATAACCTTTAGTCAGCGCTAAGGTAGAAATGTATCTGGGCTGACCAATGTGATTCAGTAGACTAATTCATCCATCCCAGGGTATTTTTAGGCATCAAAGTAAGACATGGCATTTATGTCCTGGAAATCTACACAGAACCCCTCAGATGTTGGCACAGAGAATACTGAATAAAACCAGGTTGTCTTGATTAGTCCTGTTTCTCTTTACTTCATGATCAAGGACTGTTTTTTTCATTCCTTCAAGGACCCAAAGGATTTTGGGGTGGGTTTCACCCCTGGTTCTACTTTAATCTAGTTCAGGGGTGGTCAAAAAATGGCCCATGGGCCAGATCCATTGGATTTTGTCTGGCTTGCAGCAGGTCCCTTGGTCATGGCCAGCCCATGCCAGGTATGACCAACTAGATCGGGGTGGGCAATTATTTGGGCCCATGGGTCACATAGGGAGTTTTGCTGAGCTGTCATGGGCCAGGTCAGCACGCTTCCTCCCTGCGCAACAGCTCACCAAAACTCCCAATGTGGGATGGGGCCACCAACCCTTGTTCATGACAAAGGAGAGCATATCCTAGGGAAACCATGGTCAGGAGTCTTCCCTTACATGTTTCCCAGTGGCACTTTCCTCTACTGCTAGCTTGGGTATCTGATGTCCAGGATTTTCCTTCCTTGTGGCAAATGAGGAAGGCTTGCTGTGGTAGTCCTGAAGTGATGTTGTAACTGTGATAGTCTAGGAAATATGGAAGAAGCAAGAGTTTTTGTGGATGATTTCTTTTATTGGATCAACTGCATGGTTGGGATAGATTTAGACAAGCTTTCAGGTATCACCCTGGGAGAGAAGCAAGCACAGCAGAGCTAAACAGCAGATGGAACAAGGGCTTGTGCAAGACTCCATATGTAAATGAAACAGGATATAAGAAAAACTATCAGGTAGCTAACAGACAAGAGAGATGTAGAGAGGCCTTGTTGTACCCTATCCTATGGCAGAGTTGTTTACTCTGCTGCAACACATGTGCAGACACTGATGGGACTGGCTGGGGCACAAGGTGGGGCAGTTGTCTGCCAGCTAGCTGTGCACTAGAGCACCCTTGTGCCCTAGCCACCCACTTCACAGCACATTGAGCCAGGTGAGAGCAGGCCCTGGCTGGCAGGCTGGCCCCCGGGGCCCCTGCCAGCTAGGGCTGCTCCAACCTGGCTCAGTGTGCTGTATGTGTATGTGTAAATGCAGCAATGTGCACCAGAGTTTATTTGTTCACATTAATTGCATGCATAGATGTGCCCGGGGTGAAGTGAAATGATACACTTAGTCCATATTAGATCTGAGAAATGTTAAGCAGTGTTAAAGTTGGAGTGTGTTGTGTACAGTCGCAGGATATGGGGGTTAATACTGTTTCTTGCCTGCATAGCTTTGACTTGCAGGGGCATGGCTAGGAGTCAAGATGTCTGGGGGGCGGGGCTCGGGGGGACTGGGTACGGTGCATCCTGGGATGTTGGAAGACTGCAGATTGATAATTTTATCTCCATGGAACAGACTGAAGTTAGTGTAACATGAGCTAGGTAGCACAGCCCAGAGTTAACCCTCATCTGAAGTGATGTAACTTTGAGACACTTAGAGGGGACTTAGAACATACTAACAAGCTTTAATGTGTGGATGCTCATGTTTTAAATGCCCCTAGTACGGTCTAAATGTAAAGTGTAACTTCACCCTAGCAAAGTGGCTGATATGCTTTACTTGGTCTCTTTCAAATGACATGCTGCAGGATGTTGTTCACGTGGGCAGGGTTTTCTGAGTCCTTAACTGACTCCAAAATCCTTTAAGGCTGATACCCATAGTGGAGCTCAAAGGGAGGGGGAGCCAGTGGATATCTGTCACAAACAGATGTAGGGGAATCACTTCTCTGTCTTTAGCATCCTGTCCACACAACCTTTTTTTAATTTGAACTTCAACTCTTCTTGACGTGTTCCACCAAACCACAGAGCCTAGAGCTGTTTCACCAGGTGGAGCACACATTAGTTCTTTCATCCCTAAGAACTCTAGACAGCCAGTTTGGTGAAACACCTGGATTAGGAAAACACCTGTGACTTCAGAGGCAATGGCATGAAAGGAAAGCCTCAAAATTCTGGATCCATGACCAGCACTCTTTTTCCAGCTGACATATAAAACTATTCCCATCCTCTCAAAGGGTGTTGAAAGGAAGGGTGGTGAAAATCAACAGTGCTGTCCTTACTTTTTGGGGCAATCCTTGGAAATCGGGGAAGGAAAGGGAGGCAGAGGCTTGATAGCTCCTTAAAAAGACAGGAATTAGGAGTGTGAGCTTTTCCTAGGTGCCCAGCTCTTTGCACAATATGTGTGAGCCATAGAAACCCCTGCCAACCAAATGTAAGTGCCATGTGCTGATGTCAGTTTAAGGGTCTCTCTCTCCCCTTTTTTTAGCTGTTAAAGTGGCAATTTTGATAATTCTACTTCCCTTGTGGTATGGGTGCAGGTGTACATCCATAGACTAAGTATCTGCAATAAGCCTGTTTTAAACTTTCTGTGCAGCAGAAATCAAAGGAGGATGCCCTGCAGCATCTCTATTTCCTCCACCCCCTGCTCTACCCCTGCCTGGCCTGCATCTAAGTTATGAAAATGTAGCTGCCCAAAACCCCATTTTAGATGGAGAAGGGCCAGGGGGGAGGGGGGTCTCTCTCCTACAGTTAGTTGCATGGCTAAGAGCTAACTCAGGGAGCAGTAGGCCTAGGTTCTAGGCCTTTTGACCCAGCAGGTGTCTAAACCTGTCCCTCTCTGACTTCCTAGCCCACTGCTCCAGTTACCATACCACAGGTTAGGCATATCCAGAACCCTCTCTAGTACTCCTTTGCAAAGCAAGAGAGGGAGAGCTGTGGAGCCAAGAGGACAAAGACAAGCTAGAAGGTGTGCAGCTCAGAGAAATGACTGCTGCTTTAGAAAGGTGAGGGCCCTGGGTTCTAGTTTTTCAGCTGGGTGGAAATTTCCTCACTGTACGTTTCCTTGCTCATTGTATACAATGGAGGGGCAGCGTCTCAGTGGCAAGACTAAACCCTAACAACTTTGGTGCTATGATAAGGGAGGGTCCCCTTTCTCCTTCCCCTGGCGTTCTTTTGGCTTTATATGCACATGTCACCACCTCTGTGTCCAGCTAGTGTGTAGCCCTGCTGAGCATGCTAAGTCTGTATGCACACACTTATACAACCACAGCACAAAGGCAGGGCCAAAAAAACACCCAGGTGTGTGGCTAGGAAATTGTCATTTAGGCACACAAGTGCTTTCTCCTCCCTTTATATAGCCCAGCCCAATGTGGGTAGAGTGTAGGGTAGTTCCTTGGCTACGAGCATGCAAGGCTGTAGCCTAGAACAGAGGCATAACACCTAGTGGTGGCAGCAGCAGTGTTTGTTCTTCTTGAGCCCCCTCTAAGCAACTGCCTGGAGCTGGTGCCCTGATCACCCACCTCTCATTACACTACTGGTCTAGAGAGCATCCCTTAAAGGAGTAGGGCATTCCTTCTCATCACTATAACTGTTGAGGGCTCTGCCTAAATCCTACTAATATCTTGGCAACAGTGACTGATGGTGACTTGTGGCCTTACATTCTGCAAGCTATTGACGTAGTATGAAATGGGAAGACAGCACCAGTTTGACGTCAAGGCTGCTGTGACTGCCTTTGTTCAGAATTTCTGTCCTTCAGCAGATTGGCATGGCAATTCCAATATTATTTTGTGCGGCATTAGCTATTGTAAGCCAAGCAAACGACATCAGTAAAACAGTGACCACAGTCGCAAGAGGGAGGTGGGA